CCACTTTTCACAATCAGCAATGCTGCACTGTAGAGTAATAATACCCACCAAGCACACAGAATTTATTGGTTGTCGATCACAGTTAGATCCAGTTTGCCCTTGTAAATTTATTGGTGATAGCACACTGTCCAACACTTCATTAACAGTATCTGGATCTTGAGATTGAATTGCTTGAGAAGGTGGCGATGGCAGAATATCGAAATCCCACAAAATAACATTCTCAAAATAAGACATTGTCCTGTAACTCCTGCTCCATCTCGCCTGAGATCACTGAGGTCAGTGAACTGCAACATATGAAAACAATATTCAGTTTAACCCTTTAAACGCCAGCGGTCTTCCCTTGACGAGTAAAATCGTCTGCCGTTAGACTGAGTAAAATAATCTGGCGTTAGACAGAGCAAAATAATAAAGTAGGGGCATCTGGGCGCAATGCGACTCGATGCAATTCAATGAGTTAATTACTTTAATAGTACCTATAAAATACCAAAGTAATCAAATCTCTATGATCAAACAAAATGAACAGTCTAAGCTTCTCTAACTTAAACTATTTTTAGCTCTACAGGTATATGCAAATATTCAAAATAGAAAGCACAAATATTGTTATCATTCAACACTGGCTATAACCAAAATCTGAATCATAGAAAAAGCAAAAAGCTTTCCGTAGCTACGTTGCCTTTGTATTCGCTTTAACGATTAAAACAAACGACTTACCCTAAAAACACAACAGGAATGTACTCTCTATCTCTATCAATGCTGGGCTATTGCAATCGGCGAAGATTTCGTCAAATTTCAGAGACAAATACTAAGAATCGCTATAATAGCGATTCTTCTGGTATCCAAACTATCCAAAAAACTGATGTGAATCTCACGGCATTCAAACTGAACACACGATAACTATAGGAACCAACAGCATACTCTGACGATACACAATGAACAAAAAAGAAGCTGATTGTGTCCTTCCAAAACTGAAGATTTATGGCGGTGAATCTGCTTTAAAAAATCTGCCATATTTCTCACTCTTGTTGTTTTGATAGTGAAGGTCAAGCGAACAATAAACGCCCGCTCGTGGAAAATCAATAATATATAATTATGCGCAATGCATCACGGTATAGTGACCACTCGTCCTCTGATCTTAACCAAGAATTTTAGAAAGCTTTCTCATTTTAGCTACATAGTAGATGGCTAATCATGGCTTCTGCATTTACCGTTCGTGGAAAACCAACAATTGATCTAGAGGGTGTATCAAAACGAATATCGTTGACAAGTTCAACGTACGTCGTTTGGACGGAAAGAAAAAGCCCTAAGAGTACGGGGCTTTCGCATAGCGAGTTCGCCGAAATCCTGCTCCATCATGACTGAAATTCTTTAAATATTGTAAAATTTAACATACTGACTAGAGCACTTTTCTGGACGTTTTGCATGGCAGTGCGATCAAGCCAAAATATATGTGCAATAAAAAGGGTAGATATGAATGTACACATAATAACAAAATACTGTGCATACATAAGTACCTTCACAAACAACTCCACTCGCTACAAAACCCTCATTACATGTGCACACAGGAGTCCCAGTGATGTTGTTGCACACCGCATTTTCATCACATATGCTATCGTCTGCACATTCTATAAACTCTATAAAAAAATAAAACTTGATGAATTTACGCGTAAAAATTGTCTACAGCCAAGCATATAAAAAAAATATAGTCAAACTATTCTCTGATCTCTAGTATAACAACCACACACATGATTAACTATGGAGGACAGCGTTAGTATAGGCGGCAAAATTCGATGATGTTTTAAAAAAACAAATGATTTAAAGATGGCAAAGGAAGGGCGACATGTATCTTGGAGTACCATGTATCTTGAGAAAGGACTCAACGTTTAGACCATTTTACTTTTGGTATGCAGTATTTTATTTTTGAAGTAGGCTGACACACAGTATAAAATAAGCATGCTTCATTTCCCAAGATTAACATTTAGGTATACGGAGACCCTGCCATCAAGTAGGCTACATTGGTATTCTGGTAAACCCCTTTAACGTAATACAGTGCAAGCACAAAGCATTGGAACAAGTTTTTAATCATAGAAAAGCAAATAACATTCAAAGAAACATAAATATTCGAATTCCCATCTTTTCTTGACTTATTTCACTCAACCAAAAAAGTAGGTTTATAGAAATGCAACCAATAAATTATTTAATCAGATAGAGGACAAAATTACTGCAATGTGATTGGTTAAGAGGAGTGCAATTATTTCATTAATTGCACTCTCAAGGAGTTCAATTTATGATTTTCGTGATGGCTGGGGGAACCGAGAAATCAAAACAACAAAAATCCAATATGGCGACGAAATTTATCTTGTATAAATAACAAAAGTGGACGAATTTAACTAAATTTTGGCACAAGGATTAGTTTATTAAAAACATAGTATGGCAACAGCAGCCTGTGGTAATAATCTCGTATAAAAATCTCGGCGGTATGCAGCGAATACAATTTATAAAGATTTTTTTATCTTAAAATATGTTGTTTGAGTTTGAATCAAACGTTCTAGTTTAAGTTAGTTTATATGTTGCCAAATTGCTTACGATCTACAAATTCAATAGATATACTGTCTCATTAGTATTCTTTATATGAAGAATACTAAATAGGACACGAACACAATAGATACTGCCTTATTAGTGTTCCCTATATAAAGAATACTAATTAAGAGTGTTTTATCAGGTTTAAAGCCATTGCACGTGACATGTTGTGGTTGAAATGATTTGCTAATAACCTTATATGAATTATTAATGAGTGTTTGAAAAAAGAATTAAAAAGTCTTGACAAAAGGCAGTTAAATTTTGAAGAACGCAATTTTGTTATGCATATAATGAATGAAAAAAAGCGCCTCGTCCGATTTTGCACATTTTCCAAATACAGTATAACTCGTAGTGTTGTCATTCATTAGTTGCACTCTTTCCCGTGTGATTACCTATTACAAATTATAATCCACCATAAGGAAAGAGGTTCTTACCTTCACATTCAAAACCATTGCCTCTGAAGTCGTCAATACAACGGCAAATGAACGATCCAATAGTGTTCTCACATGTAGCGTTGTCATGACAACGACTTGGTTCACATTCGTCAACATCTAGTAAGATGAGCACAACCTAGCATTATCCATATACTGTTCTACTATAAAGGGTCGATTTAATTTTCTAATATTCAATGTTTCTCATTTGAAAGAACTTGCGAGAAAAGACTTTTTACAACTTTAAACATTCCATAACTCTTCTGTGTACACATTTGTAAAATAAATAAATGAATAAATGTTCTAAATGACAGTTCACGCCAATTACAATGAAAACTTGAAATGGTTTGGGAGGAATTGTTAATATTCTATTTTCGTAAAAATATTTCCTGATATAAATAGGAATGAATAGAAAGTTACTAAATGAATCAAAACGTCCATACCATCACAATAGGTACCATTGCCCGTGAAACCGTCGAAACAGTTGCATTCATATAATCCAGGAATATCATTACATGTGGCATTCACGTGACACGGAGGAGGGTCATCATCACATTCAATGATATCTAACACATGGAAATGAAAAGAAAATATTAAAAAAGTAATAATCTGAGCGCGTCAGCAAGGGCGATAGCCTGGGCGATAGGCTGGTCCAGGATAGTAATAGACAATTCCAGCTATATCGACTAATTCTTTATCTAGGCACGAAAGACGAAATAATCATATCATTATAGCTCAAAAGAGCATCCTAAAATTAGTAAAATTGCAACGTTTTGTTGCGAAATGTTGTAAAAGAAGGAAAAAAACATGCAGCTTTTGAAAGGATGCTCTTTTGCGCTATTATACAAATAATGTAACTATGTTTATGAGTGCAATGGTAAGAATATTTTCATGAGGTGAACAATGGAATGTTCCATTCAACGAGGCGACAGCCGAGTAGCGCGACGTTTGAAACAAGCCTAACACATCAGATGAGTAGCACGACGTTTGAAACAAGCCTAACACATCAGATGAGTAGCGCGACGTTTGAAACAAGCCTAACACATCAGATGAGTAGCACGACGTTTGAAACAAGCCTAACACATCAGATGAGTAGCACGACGTTTGAAACAAGCCTAACACATCAGATGAGTAGCACGACGTTTGAAACAAGCGTAACACATCGGAAACCGAGAAACGTCGTGCTTCGTGGAACTGATACAATTTATTTATTTATTGTGATGCTACACGCCACAAGTCAAAATTTATATTAAATTGTTTCACCAACAACCAAATTTTGTATATTCTAAAACTAGCTACATTTGTATTAGGAGCTGTCGCTAAAAGTATGGACCGTTCCGCTAGACATGTGAACAAGGTCCGTGACGGTACACGAATCATACCCTTGCCTTTTCCTTCTATTTCGTGAAGCTTGCAGGGAAGTCTAGCAGTGGGCGATAACACGTTGGCTACCTCCTTGTCTTTCTTGTTTGAATCTTTAGCTCTAACGAGTCAAGAGATTTTCTTTATAGTCTCGCAAGTTAATTTATTTTGATAAAATACAAAACAATAGATACTCCGAAAATTCAATTCAATTGAATTCAAATTCAATTTTCGGAGTATCAATTATTTTGTATTTTATCAAAATACTTAGTGGTTCCCGTAATTAATATATTTTGTTGTTTATTTTCTCCGTAAACGCCATACCATGATACAAACATCCGCTTCTGTTTAATACTTTTGTACTGAGTTTGTAGCCATCCATTCTGTGGTGTAGCAGTGTAGCATCTTATACAGTCGATATATAATGAATATACGGTCTAAACAATATATATCGGCACTTAAATTATTAATTGAATGCCGGTAAATACAAAAAATCAATTTATATATTGCGTAGAATCTCAAATATTTTCTCAATATTCATGTCTGAAATGTTTATATATTTGAAAACAACACTGTCTCGCTCCTTCCGAGCTCTGTATACGTATAATGAATATACCGTCAAAATAATATCGGCATTTATAATTGAATGCCTAGAATCTCAAATATTTTCTTAATATTTACGTCTGAAATGTTTATACATTCCAAAAAAAGCACTGACTAGCTCCTTCATAGCTCCTCTGTATGAATAATTTATACCGTCTAAATAATATCGGTACTTGATTGAATGCCTGTAATGCATAACATCAATTTATATATTGCGTAGATTCTCAAAGATTCTCTTCTTAATATTCACGTCTGAAATGTTTATATATTAACGAGCTTAAAGGTAGGTTACAGTCCCTTCTGCGCATGTCTGTGATTGTTTTTGCCTGGGGACTCCACCGGAAGGTGCCGCCAGTTAACGACAAAGAATCGCCTGATGTGACTGCAGCGCTTTGTGTAAAGCTTTTTTCAGCATTGGGTGTAAATGATGTCTCTCTAGTGCAAGATATAGACACTGCCCAACGTGTCCCGAGGCGGAATCGAAATTCACCAGCTAGTCCAGAACCAATAACCTGCAAATTCGTCCGAAGGCTTGCTAAAAACAAAGTGATGGAGGCAAGAAATAAAATATACGATCCAAAGCCCGAACAACTCGGATTCCAAGCGCAGTAACAACATGGCCGAATGAACATCTACGAACATTTAACACCTCGCCTTCAAACACTTCTCTTTGAGGCTAAAAAAGTTCAAAATCGTTACGGATTCAAGTACTGCTTGGGCTAAGAACAACTACATTTGTCTTCGAAAATCCGATGTCGAGGAAAATGATTTTATTTCACGCGTATTTAGGATAGTTCAGACATCTTCATTAATTTCGGATATCGTCGAAATCAAATACGGCAAAACAAGCTTCTGGCCCGTTTGCACTTGCAAATTTTGCTGCGATATCTAGTGCGACATTCTTCTTCCAATGCATGTGAACGAGTTGATAAGTTATGAATGTTCTCAGTTAAATTATGTACCTAGATCTGAGCATTCATAACTCATCCACTCGTTTTTACCTATTGTAAGAAAAAAATCGCACCAAAACGTAAACAGTGTAAACGGGCTTTAAAGTAATTCCGCAGTTTAGCATTGCGCACTTTAACTGCGCACATCTTATAACTTTTAATTTCATCCATTATACGTACCGTTTAAAACAAAACATTTTATGACAATTTTATGTTACTTCAAAACATCTTTGGTTACATTCGCGCAAAGAATGACGTTAAAATCAATGTTTTCAAAAAAGGCATACAGAAACGTAGCTAGGGTTACAGATACAGGGTGTACCTGTAGTATATTTATTTACTTGTATTTCACGTTTTAATGCCACAATTCCCTAAAAAGATCGGTGACCCCCGTTTTTTAACTGATAATTTATTTCTTTAATGCGTTTTACATTTCCTATCCGAAATTAAAAGAAAAATCATTTCTGGATCTTGAAAAAAAATCCTTTATCAATGTATGTTCTCAAAGAAAGATATGTAAAGAAATGTGGAAAATACATTTGTGGATCAGAATTGTACACGTTAGTAGTTTCATTTTTCTCAAAAAACATAATATTTTTTTCAAAAATAATTACAAGATAGGTTTACTGAAGCAAAATCCGCGCTAAAAACGTCAATAAATATCGGGCTGTTGTGATTTTGCTGTTACTCGTAATGAGCGTCAAGATGGCGCCATATTGGGGTAAATGGGGTATATTGTGATTGTCATAACGAGTTCGATGACCCTGACTTTTTTGTGTGATTTTACTTTAAGTATATCATAAACTGGACTTCAATGATTTGGATTCTTGCACTTCACTTGGTGGAATTAATATTAGAATGTTAGGGTTTGTAATCCAAGTGAGAATCTATACATTTTAAGACCTAACCAGGAACGATTGCGAAAAATGCAGCACAAGGTCCTCTGGTAGGAATTGAACCTACGGCCGTGCGATTCCGGTGCAGCGCTCTAACCAATTGACCGCACACCCGATTACCTATATATACATCAACCTATATATCACAACCCGCACACCCGATTACCTATATATACATGAACTTCCGGTTACAGCTTAACAGCTGGACTCTGTAGCTCAGTTGGTTAGAGCGCTGCACCGGAATCGCACGGCCGTAGGTTGAATTCCTACCAGAGGACCTTGTGCTGCATTTTTCGCAGTCGTTCCTGGTTAGGTCTTAAAATGTATATATTCTCACCTGGATTACAAACCCTAACATTCTAATATTATTTCCACCAAGTGAAGTGCAAGAATCCAAATCATTGAAGTCCACCTTATCACAACCCGCACACCCGATTAACCTATATATACATGAACTTACGGTTACAGCTTAACAGCTGGCCTCTGTAGCTCAGTTGGTTAGAGCGCTGCACCGGAATCGCAAGGACGTAGGTTCAATTCCTACCAGAGGACCTTGTGCTGCATTTTTTGCAGTCGTTCCTGGCTTGGTCTTAAAATGTATATATTCTCACCTGGATTACAAACCCTAACATTTTAAAATTATTTCCACCAAGTGAAGTGCAAGAATCCAAATCATTGAAGTCCACCTTATCACAACCCGCACACCCGATTACCTATATATACATGAACTTCCGGTTACAACTTAACAGCTGGCCTCTGTAGCTCAGTTGGTTAGAGCGCTGCACCGGAATCGCACGGCCGTAGGTTCAATTCCTACCAGAGGACCTTGTGCTGCATTTTTCGCAGTCGTTCCTGGTTAGGTCTTAAAATGTATATATTTTCACTTGGATTACAAACCCTAACATTCTTATATCATAAACTCCATGCCTGGGAAGTTTCAGCACATTCTCATTTCGGGAGCAATTACTGCGGAATTACCTTAATTAAGTTGTGAAATTACACGGGAATGGTGTAGTAAGAATGAAGACACTTGAGGACCTTGCTAAACTGACAACGGATGAAGATGGAAGATGATCTGTACATTAAGATAAGTAGAATTATATAGTAAATATATTGTGTGATAACAATGCGGAGCAAAGATGACGAAAAAGTAAACAAAGCTATGTTTTGTGAACTGCCCTATAACGGTGTTAATATTGTTGCTAGTCACAGACAATTTATAATAACAGTCTTTCTCCAAAACATATCGCTAAAACTATTTAGATAAGCTGACTAGTATATATGATCTGGACCTATTTAATCTAAATACAAATCCTATAATTCGGATATAAACTCCGATCACAATATTATGAGTAGGCTAACCATATTCATATAGTAGGTATTATTCACCCAATAGCTTTCAAAAAATTGACAAAACTCCAAATGGTTTATATAATAACCGATCCACATTCTTTCATAAAAATGTACGTAGCTTGAGGAAAAACATTGATATCTGCAAGCCCATATTTTGGATGAACTTGGTTTTTCTTTTAGTATTAAACAGTAGGTATAATTACTCGCTGGGGCACCTGTGCCCAGGCGAGTATATGTTTGGGCATGGTTCTCCGATCGTCGATAGCCACAAAATAGAATATTAATGAGCTGCCTAATTTTCGCCCCAATTATCCATAAGGCTCCTGCTAATTTTACCCAAATTATCCATAAATAACCCTGCAGTTTGAGGAAAATTCGGGAAAATTGAACAATTTTACAAGGAATTTTGACATTGAAACATTGAGCAGTGAGTGCATTGAAACAGCAACCTTCGCGTTTGGCTGCGCTGATTTATATTTTGAGAAGAAAGCGACACAGTTCGATTAAGCGCAAGAAATTGTACTTACGGATGTCGGTGGCCGGATATTTTGCCGAAAGACATTTTGCCGAAAGACGTTTTTCCGAACGGACATTTTGCCGACGGACGTTTTGCCGAACGGACGTTTCGCCGAATGGACATTTTGCCGAATGGACACTTTACCGAACGGACAGTTTGACGAACGGACATTTTGCCGAAAATAGAGATATCTTCTGAACTTTAAAGGTTCGCTTACACGGTCAAAGTTTCTGTGATTAAAGTCATTAATTCTCGACTTTGACGACAGAAACTTTGATAGTTAAGTATAGTTTCGTTTTATATTCTTTCAAGTTTTTGAGAAGTTTACCGCCGAAAATTCGCGAGATAAAGAATAACATCATTCAACATCATTCATGAATGTGATTTCCCCGAGAACTGTGAATGTATTCCGTGATTGTCGAAGTGAAATTCGCTTACGTCGTCTTTATAATTATACGCTTGTTTGTTTACGATCTGACGTCAAAACACGTTCCTAACAAATTAGTCATCCGCTGCACAAACAAGCTACCAATAATCAATATGGTTATGCACTGTTAACAACCATTATGCACTGCTAATGACCATATAATGGTTATTTTACACAATGGTTGAGAATTACACAGTTGAGAAATGAGTCACAGTCCCAAACATTTTGACGAAATAATATCTTTATTTTCGGCAAGTTGTCCATTCGGCAAACTGTCTGTTCGGCAAAATGTCCGTTCGGCAAAATGTCCGTTCGGCAAAACGTCCGTTCGCCAAAATGACCGTCGGCAAAATGTCCGTTCGGCAAAATGTCTTTCGGCAAAGTGTCTTTCGGCAAAGTGTCTTTCGGCAAAATGTCCTGGTACCCGGATGTCAAGTGTAATACTAAACACCAGTATTCTAGCGATTTATGGCCTTTAATTGAAAGTCAAGCGAAATTGTATTGTTGACCTATCGCTCGCAGTACGTGTTCAACACAAATCACTCGCACTACGTTTGTCCTTGTATTTGTAATGTCTAGTGGCGCAATAAGGACAAAAATACCACCGTTCGATTCAACGTAAGAAATTGTACTCACGGATGTTAAATGTATTACTAAACACAAGTATTCTAGCGATTTATGGCCTTTGAAAATCAAGCGAAATTGTATTGCTGACAAATCGCTCAAAATTATTACATTAATTATAAAAAAAATGTAGTACGTTTCATCCTTGATAACTTTGGTATCATTGGTTTTCTCTTTTTCGGCCGTATACCAGTGGATTCGTCTCACTTCTCTCTTCATTTTGATAGTATTTTGAGCCCAAAAGCCCCAAAATATTTTATTTTGAACGTTTTAAAGCGCAGTTTAAACCTAGCTAGCGTACGGACCAACTGGCGGCTGACAGTCTTGAAGAAATTAGAATGTAGCGTACTAAATATAACTTTACTTGTAGGGTCTACCGTATTTTTATAGTACTGCCTTAAGCCTTTCGTTCTCGTATTCGAATTTTCCGCTTAGCTCGGGGAAAACCTTAAATCTTAATTGAAATAGCTGTGTACTGTATGTATCATGTACAGTAATGTGCGTATTTGTATAGCCCAGCGAATTAACGCTCCGTAGAGCGTCTTGTTAACTGAAACTCCCATAACAGATGCTATTATAGATAACTTCGATTACATTAATTTTCCTGAGTACTCGTTTGAATTTGTTCCAACACCTCTTGCTGCAGGAGGAGTCGGAATGAATATCAACAATGAGCTTAGATATTTTATTATTGAAAAAACCGCGAACAAGGACTTTCAAGCGCTATGGATTGAAATTCTTATGCCAAATAGGAAGAATATTATTTGTGGTTTACTATATAGGCAACATAGTTCACCAGAATGTTTCCTAAATTATTTTGAAGAAAAACTCAAATATTTCACTTCTCTAGGTAAAACTGTTGTTGTCACGGACGATTTTAACATAGATTTGCTTAAAATTGATAGCTGCAATAGCATAGATAAACCAACCCGTGTCCACAGGGACTCTACCACATTAATTGATAATATTTTCATTAATATTGCGGATGAAATATTAATCAGCGGTAATGTTGTATCGGATGTAGGCTAAGTGATCGTTTTTCACAATTCTGTATTATAGATTCAATTTCAGCTAAGAACAACATAACACAATTTACTATTCGTGACTACTCTCGTTATTCGGAGACTTTATATATTCCTTCAAGATCTATCAGAAATAGATTGGAACTGCATAATAGCAGAATATGTACATCATCCTGATAACTTTTCTAACCAGGTTAACAAATTTGTAAACAAACATGATGCACCTCTCAAAATGATTTCCAACGGAATGGCTAAGAACTTCACAAAACTTTGGATATCCAAAGGCTTAAGAGTATCAAGTAAATTAAAAATGCATTATATGGCTCAAACTCTTTAAAATATAAAATTTATAGGAACTCGATTGTACGTAATTAAACTTAACACGAGCTAGCAAGAGTAAAGCAAGCAAACTGTATTATCATACATACTTTAGTTCAAATCAAAACAATATGAAAAACACCTGGGATGGAATAAGGGATTTAAGGTGGCTCCATGCAGTTCCGTAGTATAAATACCTTATTGCGTAAAAAATTCAATTTATAAATTTTATCACTTCATCTATTAATTTTAAGCATTCCCGAGTATAAATTAAGTATTTGATAGAAAAAAGTTGCAATATTCTTGAACATAATATTGTTTCCATGGTAACAGTAGTCTCGCCAAATATGGTATTTTTTGCTATTTTAAGCAGGTTTTTATTATTTATTTTCCGAATATTGCCGGTGACACCCCATTTTTAACTGCTGTATAGCTTTCACTTTTAATGCGGAATCTTATCCCTGAAAATAAAAAAATTCTGTAGATTAGAATAGCCAGAATAAAAAATTGCGGATTTAGAGTTTTTCAATCTACAGATTTTTTTAAAATTTTGATATTCTATTTGTTTTAAAAGAAGTTATCGTTGTGCAAAATTTCATCACATGTCACCGTGCAAAATTTTGAATTACGCCGTTTTATCGTGGTATCTCACTCGCTCGGCCGAAAGTTTTTCGAGCTCTGCAAGATCAATGAATTGACATGCGCGTACATGTTTTCGCAGGCGCATCTTCAAAAAAACACGCACAAAAATGTTTTTAGTCTCGTCGAAATATCAAATATATGTTGTGTTTTCTTGCTTAGAAATCCAAATATATTTAGTTTTGCATGCTAACTCGGGATAACGCCAAGAAAACAGGTGATTGTGTCGTTTGGTATAAGATATGTGTGACATGTATGAACGTTTTGGCTTCTCTACATAGTTTTATATTTGTTTTCAGTCGGAACTTGTGTGTTTTCTTGTTGTTGTTGACAATTTAAAACAGATTAACCGGCGCATGATGCTGTTTCAGCCGGCGCATGATCAGGCTGTTTCACTGAATTTCTTTGCTGTTAGTAACACTTTGAATACATTTACCAGTTGTAAGTACCAAAACTCTGGATATGAACTTATAAATCGCCAAATATTGCCGTAAAAAACTTTTCGCCGGTCGGGCCGATCGCCGGTTTTCACAAGAGTTTGAACGTTGAACATTGCATTTTTTACCTTAAAATGTCTTCTAAAAAGACTAGTTATTCGATGTTCAGGGCTAAATCAGGACGAAGTTTGTTCTTTGAGAACAAATGAGAACAAGGAAGATTCAAAACATCAAAATAAACATGACTTGTAGTTCGGATTTTTGACTGAAAAAGTTGTTTTTATTTTTGCATATATTTTTAATATTTTCGCGCGAAAACTCAAGATTAGGTACCAGTCCCCCGATGATGAAAAGTGTATGGAGCCACCTTAATTGGAGGTGGCAAAAAAACGTAAAAAGTATAAATTAACGCGATGACGCAAGGTGGCAACACGTCATCGTTTAGCAACTAAGACGCCTCATTCAGAAAAGATTTGGACTATTGCACT